TATTTCGGTTTAGAGACCCAGGAGGAATAACTTAGAATGGCCCTGGTGAGGGTTTATTTTGAAATATCAGAAGTGAAGTGTCTACACACTCCTTATTTCGAAATAGCTATTTCAGAATAGACGTTATTCTTCATAGAATGAGGTTTACAGAAGTTAGGACAAGCTGTCTGTTATTTTGAAATTATTTCGAAATAATGGAATGGCTGTGTAGACGCTCGTATAGTTATTTCAGAATAACAGCTGTTATTCAGAAATAACTGTGCTGTGTTGACACACCCTAGATGAGCTGGTGTTGTCCAGGAGGGTGCTGGAAAGTACCAGACACACAGTCCATTCTGCAATGCTAGGCCAGGTGACCTGGAGGTTGCTGCTCCATGCTGTTTGGTTGAAAAGCATCAGGGGATTCTCTTGTTCATGAAGGTGCCAGCGGTAGAGCCCAGGTGTGAGCTCTTTCTATAGCCTTCATGTCTAGACCAAAGCCCAAAACTTTACATAGGTGAAGAGGTACGGCCCTAAATGAGCAGCCGGCAACTGGTGCCCCAGGTGAAACGGGAGCACAGTCGGCACCCACACTTCCAAAGCCCTCAAGGGCCATTTTGCTTGGTGCCCTAGGCAACTGCCTAGGTTGCCTGTATGGACGGGCTGCCACTGCACTGTGGAGAAGAAATGTGTATGAAATTAGTATAGACCTAAAAGTGTGCAAGAGTCACAGTTACACGTGGCATTTATAATCTATAGCACTCACAACACGTTACAGCTGAGTGTTAATATGTTCCATTGTCCTAATACGATATCTGTTGGGAAACCAGCACAGGAGGGCACAAATTATCCAACAAGTTCTTGGATTGCATGGGAGACATTTTTTTAATTTTAGAAGGTTGGGAAGCTACTGGGGAGAAGCTGTTCTCGATTTGATTATATCAGACAGAGAGGAATTAGTTGAAAATTTGAAACTGGGAACATGAAATCATACAATGCGTGATTTTAAGAAGTGGTAGGAGAGAGAACAATAAAATGGAGACAATGGATTTCAGGAAGGCAGATTTTATTAAACTCAGAGAGCTGGTAGGTAAGGTCCCACGGGAAGCAAGACTAAGAAAAAAAATCTTAATACTGTTGGCAGTTTTTCAAAGGAGCATTATTAAGGGCCCAAAAGCAAAGTATTCCGCTGCGTAGGAAAGATAGGAAGTACGGCAAGAAACTACCTTGGCTTAACCAGGAGGTCTTACATGATCTAAAAATCAAAAAAGAGTTGTATAAAAAGTAAAAACTAAGTCAAATTACAAGGATAAGCAAATAACACAGGTATGCAGGGACAAGATTAGAAAGGCAAAGACAGAAAACAAGCTCAATCTAGTTAGGGATGTAAAGAGTAACAAGAAGACATTCTACATATATATGAGAAGCAAGAGGAAGACTGAGGACAGAATAGGCCCACTGCTCAGAGAAGAGGGAGAAACAAGAAGAGAAAACTTTGAAATGGTGGAAGTGCTTATCAAGTCTTTGTTTCAGTTTACCCCAAGAGGATTGATGGTGACAGGATGCCTAACATAGTGAATACTAGTGGGAAGGGGGTAGGTTTAGAAGTTAAAATAAAAATAAAAGAACAAGTTAAACATTTCTTAGAAAAGTTAGACGTCTTCATGTCACCAGAGCCTGATGAAATGCAGCCTAGAATACTCAAGGAGCCGATAGAGGAAATACCTGAGCCTTTAGCTGTCATCTTTGAAGAGTCATGGAAGTCGGCAAAGATTCCAGAAAACTAAAAATGGAAAATCTAGTGCCCATATATAAAAAGGGAAATAAGAACAATCCAGGAAACTACAGACCCATCAGTTTAACTTCTGGGCCAGGGAACATAATGGAGCAAGTCATTGAGGAATTTATCTTCAAATGTCTGGAAGATAATAAGTTGATAGGTAACAGCTAACATGGATGTTGAAAGAACAAACCAATCTGATAGCTTTCTTTGATGGGATAACAAGTCTTGTGAATAAGGAAGAAGCGGTGGACGTGGTCATGATGATTTTAGTAAATCATCTGATAGTCTCACACAACCTTCTTGTCAATAAAGTGGGGAAATACAACCTAAGTGGAGCATCTGTAAGATGGGTGCATAACTGGCTGGATAACCATTCTTAGAGAGCAGTTATTAACGGTTAACAGTCATGCTGGAAGGGCATAACATGTGGGGTCTGTTTGGGGACAGGTTCTGGTCAATATCTTCATCAAAGATTTAGATGATGGCATAGAGAGTCCGCTTACTAAGTGTGGAGATGATTCCAACTTGGAAAGGGTTCCAAGTGTTTTGGAGGATAGGGTCATAATTCAAAATGACCATAAATGACAAACTGGAGAAATGGTCTGAGGTAAATAGGATGAAGTTTAACAAGGACAAACGCAAAGTCTTCTACTTAGGAAGGAACAATCCCTTTCACACATACAGAACGGGAAGAGACTGTCTAGGAAGGAGTACTGCAGAAAGGAATCTAGGGGTCAGAGTGGACCACAACCTAAATATGAGTCAACAGTGTGACACTGTTGCAAAAAAAGCAAACACGATTATGGGCTGCATTCACACGAGAGTTGTGAGCAAGACACCAGAACTGGAGACAATACTACAACGGAGGCCTAATGAGCACAGAGCAGAGTGGAAGATCATTTGATAACTACTCTCTGGGAACAGTTATCATACCAGTTAAATACCCACCTTATTGTAGTCCCATCTAGGTTGTGCTTACCTAATTTATTAATAAGAACATCATGAAACACTGTACCACATCTACCACTTCCCTCTCATCCGCAGGCCCTGTCATGGGACGGGAAGAAAGGAATTATCCAGAGAGGAGACATTTTAACTTTACTGGCATTGTCTGAGGTGGGAGAGGAGTGACAGGGAATGTCTATACTAACGCCCCTACAGAGACTCAGCTCTGCTACTGCAGCACCATCGTGTAGACGCTTTTACATGGATGGAATCTACACCCACTTCTCCTAGAGGCTTTAGGTGGCCTTACATGGGGTGTGAAAAATCTTCCAGTTTTATGCAACAGAGCATGGTTACATAATTCTTAAGCATAAGCCAGGCCGCATACGTTGTTATAATGGAAAAGAACATTTGGTGTTCATTTGATTTTGTTGGCACCTGTCGGAGGGCTTCAATTTTCCTTTTGTCTCTGAGGAACCACTTTGTCCCTGTATCTCTACACTCAGAACAGCTCGCAAGTGTTATTAGAGTGGAATACCATCACTTTACACACAGTGCTGCTGCACACACTTTACATGGACAATGATGATCAGCGGATTATGAGAATTCAAAGGAGACCTCACGAGGCATGCTTTGAACAAAATTAATCATAGTCTTGCAAAAATGTGAGCATAAAGGTACACATTGTCACAATTGCGAAACAATTTATTTTGCCTCTAATTTGCTTGAGGATGATACGATGGCTCTGCACGTAAATTGCAGTGTATTAATCACAGTCTTGCAAAAATGTGAGCATAAAGGTACACATTGTCACAATTGCGAAACAATTTATTTTGCCACTTATTTGCTTGAGGTTACTACCTTTAATTTAAGAAGCAGCAAATGGAGTGAAAGTAAAGGAATCAGTTGCAACAGACACACACTTGACACAGACCTTTTTATGTTCAACTATAATATGAGATAATACGATGGCTCTGAACGTAATTTGCAGTGTATCTTCAAAGAGGGAATTCACTAAGTTCCTTCAATAGTCCAGACTATTTGTGAGACCAATATGGTGAATCTGAAGAAGGTCGCATTACAGCAGAGTATGAGGGTCTAGGACATCACTCTCTGACATACCATGAGAAGCAAAATGTTCTAATAAATGAAGCGGTGGCTTAGCTCTCAGTACCATGGCCGTCTGGCCCACGGAAGAGAATGGGGGTATGTGGTATCTGGGGGGCCCCGTGGTAATTCTGCTTCGTAATATCAAGTTTTCCGGCATGAGTTTTTGGTATCCACCGCTCACAAACCAAATCAACACTTGTTTGATCAGCACCGCTCAGAACCCAGGGTGAAGTGAAACTCCGTTTCTCTGAAGAAATTGCATCATTTAATCACATAGGAGAAAAGAGGAGGCCAAATTAATCCCCAAAGCCTGAGCTACACTTCACGTCGCTGAGCACACTAATTAGATGTTGTTTCTCTCTGAGCTCAGAATTCCCACTTGCTTATGAGATCACGTCCCAGAGATCACAAATCTCAGTATAAAACCTCCTGAATTCTCCAATCTGGCAGTTTCTGTTGATTGGGAGGTGCTACCCCACGCAGGTATGTGCTGTTCACATGCATCTCTCTCTCTCTCACATACATACACACACCCCATGGGAATAAGCAGGTTTTGAATTCAAGATCTCCAGCTCTAAATACATCAGCCCCAGCTCCTACCTCTTGAGTTAAAAGAACAACCCCTTTGGCAGGGAAAAACAGGCAGTTTCCTAGTCACGGAAGCCTGCGCATTGAATTGTGACTCATAGTATGCACACAGATTAATGTAAATGACATTAGTAGATGCCTAAAAGGTTAATTAGCAGAGCACACAAGCTTTACCCCAAAGGACATGCCAACCCACAGAGCTCCCCTTGCCCGAAGAGGGTAGAAAGATTGACACTCATTAACCTCACCCCTTGAGGAGGTAAGGAATAATCTCTGCAGTCTGAGATACTTTCATCCTGATTCTTTCACAGCAGCGAGAAGAGTTACTATTTGCTACTCAGAATAGTGACCAGGCGTGTTCTTTGTGGGAGGGTGATTAATCTGCATGTCCTCGTATTTGTACAGTGTGTGCATTGTATGGAACACCTGGAATGATGAGCTGTGACCATCTGGCTATGTGGACTTTCCTTCCCTGAACTGATACCAGTGTCCATTAAGAAACGGATGTGTCTTTGCTTTCCTCATTACCATGAAGCAATAGGTTTCCTGAGATATCAACGTGCCCCTGTAGCTCCCTGTCCTTGGCTCAGAGGAAATGGAAGAGGGAAATCACTCGGTGGTGACTGAGTTCATTCTCTTAGGACTGACAGATCGTCCGGAGCTGCAGGTTCCCCTGTTTGTGTTGTTCCTACTGATTTATGTTATCACTGTGGTGGGGAACGGGGGTATGACTCTGTTAATCACAACTGAGCCCCGACTCCACACCCCCATGTACTTTTTCCTCCGCAATTTGTCCTTCTGTGATCTCTGCTATTCCACAGTAATTGCCCCTGTGATGTTGCAGAATTTTTTAACCAGCAAGAAAAGCATTTCTTATACTGCCTGCACTGTGCAAATATTCCTCTTTATCACTTTTACAGACACTGAATGTCTCTTGCTGGCTGCGATGGCGTATGACCGTTTTGTGGCCATCTCTAACCCGCTGCTCTACAAGGTCATCATGTCTAGGGGGCGTTGTAACCAGCTAGTGGCTGCCTGCTATGCTGGGGGGCTGGTGGATGCAGTGATGCTCACAAGTTTTACATTTCAGCTGTCATTCTGCCGCTCGAATATCATCGATTATATCTGCTGTGACATCCCCCCTTTGCTGGCGCTCTCCTGCTCTGACACCCACACCAACGAGATTCTGATGTTTGTTTCCATGTGCTGCATTTCACTGAGCAGCATTGTGATCATCCTCGTCTCTTATGTCTGTATTATCACCACCATCTTGCGGATGCACTCTGCCGAGGGCCGGCGCAAAGCCTTCTCCACCTGCGCTTGTCACTTGATCACGGTGGTTATGCTTCATGGCACTCTCCTCTTCATATACTTCCGTCCCATCTCCAGCTATTCCCTGACCACAGACAAAGTGGCCTCCGTGTTCTACACGGCGGTGATCCCCGTGTTGAACCCCCTCATCTACAGCCTGAGGAACACGGAGGTAAAACACGCCCTGAACAAAGCATTCTGTGAATATTTTTTTTCTAAGAGCTAGTTTAGTGATGAGGGCATGAAAACCAAGCCAATTCAGTTCCCAGACCATTGCAATGTCATTTCGTAGTGCTTAAAGTAGTCCTGTTCTTTAGCGTATTGTTGTTGTTATTTTTTTTTCTATTCCAAAAAGCTTTCATTAGGCTCTTGCCCCAGCAAAATTCAAGGGGGCACTTCTTTGACACGTGTGATTATATATGTGACAGGCTTTGGATGCATGGAGCTGTTTGTTTTGGGAAAGAAGAGGGCAGCATCAAATCTAGCTCCCTCTTTTTTGTAGTTGGTTTGGATTCATTGTTATTGGTTATGTGATATCTATGGCTGCATCAAAAGGAGTCTGGCACATTGTTTTGCTATGCTACAGCCTTTCATGTGCTGTGTGGGGTTGTAGTAGACATTGTCACCCGGTTTATGAACATGCCATAGAAGGTGAAAAGAGATTTCAGTTACCATGGCCTTTCTTTTAAGGTAAGGGGACAACCAATAAACTAAGAGCAAGGGGAATGTTTTCAAGAGAGACACGGTGTCTGTCCTTTCTCTTTGACAGTCCTCCCTAAACTGAATCCAAACTAGCACAGAAAGGGGGAGTTCTCTCTACAACATACACTTTAAAAAATTATGAATGCTGTCAGAAACTAGATATTTGTCCCTCATAAGCAGGTTCACTCTGAGTTCTGATTTTGGAAAGATTCCTAGCCTCTGAAGAGAAGGGATTTGTGAAAATTGTATGGCTCAGGGGACTGAGAGGGAGAAATGGACGGAACTGGCCCAAAAGCTGATTTCTGAGTTCACGGGGTATTCGAAAATGTTCATCTCGACCCGATCCACATTGGTAATTTCCCCAAATCGCTGGCAAATGGAAAACATTAATCTCCACTGAAGTTACATGACACATTTTACACGTCCGGAAATGGCACGTTACCTTTTCTTCCTGGGTATTCTTCCACGTAAGGCAGTGACAATGAAGGGCTAGCCTGACAAAAGGGATGGGACTGGAAGATGCGGTGATACTGCTGCTTCTCCTGTAATCTTCAACCCAGTGATTGGAGCAATCATGGGAAAAGGAGGAGAAACCCTTCTCTATGAGTTACAGACATTGGTAGGTAAGTGCTTTCCCATTGACCTGATACGTCTTCTCCAGTCTTGCTAAATTAACACCACTTCATTTATCAAAGCGGCACTGGGTTAGCCGGTAGTGTAGCTCTGGCCTCAGTCTCTCTTCTTGGAGCTACTGAATTTTGGGTAACCCATGGGAACAACCACAAACCCAAAACCAGAGAGCGATTCTGGAGACTGGTTGCCAGGAGGGGCAGATGGTCAACCTCATGTCTCTGTTTTAATGGTTATTTCCTTAGTTATCTATAGTAGACCAAGGTTGAAAAAAAGATATCAAGAACAACACGGACTGGAATAACCTATTCATCAGGGGCTGTGGTTCTTTATGGAAAGGCAAGGAACCCAGGGACAAATCTTTGCCCAGCTCTAGTCTGAAGTGGGAATTGAAGTTGGATCTCCCACCTTACAGGTGAAAACTGTAACAATTGGGTATAATCTACAAACGGAGGGTATATCACTGCCTGATACCTTTGGCTGTTTTGTGCCCCGCAACTAAACTCTTCCCCAGATATATGCATGGGTTGTGTCTAGACTGGCCACTTTTTCCAGAAAAGCACCCACTTTTCCAGAAAAACTTGCCAGCTGTCTACACTGGCCGCTTGAATTTCCGCAAAAGCACTGACGATCTCATGTAAGATTGTCAGTGCTTTTGCGGAAATACTATGCAGCTCCCATTCGGGCAAAAGTCTTTTTCCGAAAAACTTTTGCACAAAAGGGCCAGTGTAGACAGCTCAGATTTGTTTTCCGCAAAAAAGCCCCGATCACGAAAATGCCGATCAGGGCTTTTTTGCAGAAAAGCGCATCTAGATTGGCCACGGACGCTTTTCCGCAAAAAGTGCTTTTGCGGAAAAGCGTCCTGCCAATCTAGATGCACTTTTCCGAAAATGCTTTTAACGGAAAACTTTTCCGTTAAAAGCATTTCTGGAAAATCATGTCAGTCTAGACGTAGCCATGTGGTTTGGGGACAAAGTTACTAGGAGAATTTGTAACACATTTGTGAACAATTTCAAGGGAAACAAAGCATCCTTGTGTTTGGCAATGAATTATTAGTGCACGGGAAATTCACCTATCTCTAGACTCTTTCGTGTGTTGGTCACTACACCAAATGTTGAAAATAACGAGAATCGGTTACAGAGCTTATGAATTTCCAGACCATTTCTACAACTTGGAACAAATGGGATGAGGGAATAGACCTTCAAAACTCCCAACTGAATGATCTCACCTTCTAAACGCAATATTAAAGAACTGGTATGGTTCTCCAGTATTTCCTGATGATTGTAATGAAAGTGGTTAGCTATTTCTCTCCCAGGTTGCTATATAATACAATTTAATATAAGTACAAAATAAAATAAAATGACCATTTGTTTTAACAACTTTGTTTTTACTTGCCTCATTCAATTCTGAATAATTAAATACATTCCTGTAAGAATGTAGGAATTGTTTGAACAATTTGAAAAATTGGACCATCTGTACGATATGTAGTTGCCTCTTCTCATTCCAAGTATCTGGAAGTAGCATTTTCAAAAGCAGTCACTGATTCAAGGTGCCTATGGACAGGTGTGAAAATGTGGGTCTTACATTTTCCCTTCCCTATCTCTGAATGGCAGTAATCTTCTTTGCCTACTTTATAATGGGATTCCGAATAGTTTATAGGTCCTTTTTTGGCCTTCATCAATGAAGTACATTCTGAGCACCTCAAAACGTGTATTGTATTGACTATAATAACTTCCACATTAGCTAGCCCAGCATTATCTCCATTATACAGCTGAAGAACTGAGGGACAGCAAAAGTAAGTATCTTCCTTCACAGATGCACAAAAGGTATGCAGCTGAGGTAGGTAGTGAGCCCCAAATTACAGAGTGCTAGACTAAGGCTCTATCCACTGGACAAGCTTTCCATCTTATGACAGACAGTAGAGGGATAGTGGTGTAAAGCCTACGTCTAAGAGTGGAAACACAGCCCCTCATTTTATATACAAAATCATAATCTGCTGACCATCATTGTTGTGGTCACGTGTGTGGCAGCCTTATGTGTAAAAAAAGGCGTTCTTGAATGCCAACAGGACTTTTTAGAAAGAGAGCATCCAGACTCACTCGCTGCTTTCTTTCAAAAAAGCGGCTTGCTTTTTCGAAATTTCCGCTTGCAGTCTAGACGCTCTTTTTCGAAAGAGGCTTGCAGTCTAGACATAGCCATGGTGAATTGGAAGAAGGTCGCATTACAGCATAGTATGGGAGGCTGGGACGCCACTCCCGTACATGCCATGAAAATAACATTTTCTAGTACAGGGCTACTTAACTTTGGAACCCCCAGAGGCCACAGTGACACTCATAGCACATGCCGAGAGCGGCAACGTAAGTGTGGTTGCATATATATACAAATATATGCAAATAGCTTCTTTCACACTGACGGGGATGAACACAAAAATTAAGGCAAGACTACACAACACGCAGGCCCCATTTACGTCAGCGCTGATGATATTAATAAACTGCAATAGTTACCACATTTCCATCCATAGGATGGCACTTTTAATCAGTCCATGACAGTCCACAAATTCAACTACTAAAAGGCATCTCCACAGAAGACCATTATATTGACTCGTCGTTGTGGAACGTGTTCCCACTGGAGGCCATGTTCAAAGGATCCCATCCACGGGCCGCAAGTTGAGTAGCCCTGTTCTAGCAAATGAAGTGGTGGGTTAGCATTTGGTGCTATGGGAGTCTGACCCATGGAAGAGAGTGGGAATAGGTGGTATCTGAGGGACCCAATGGAAATCTGAGGGACCCATGGAAGAGAGTGGGAATAGGTGGTATCTGAGGGTGGTATCTGTGGTATCCACATCATAATATCAAGTTTTCAGCATGAGCTTTCGTTGTCCACCAACAACAAACCAAATCAACACATGTTTGATCAGCTCCACTCAGACCCCAGGCTGAACTGAACACGGCAGGATGAAATTAACCCTGACCTCAAACTCCATATCTCTAATAAACTGCATCATTTAATCACACGGGGGAAAAGAAGGGGACAAATTAATCCCCAAAGCATGAGCTACACTTCAAGACGCTGAGTGCACAATTAGATGCTGTTTCTCTCTGAGCTCAGAATTCCCACCTGTTTATGAGATCACACCTCATAGATCACAAATCTTAGTATAAAACCTCCTGAATTCTCCAATCTGGCAATTTCTGTTGATTGGGATGTACCACCCCATGTATCTTCTCAGGTATGTGCTGTTCTCATGCATCACAGTCACATACACACGCACACAGAGACACCGTGGGAATCAGCAGGTTTTGCATTTAAGATCTCCAGCTCTAAATACATCAGTCCCAGTTGCATGTCCTTATATGTTTACAGTCTGTGCATTGTATGGAACACCTGCAAGGACCAGCGCTGAACATCTGGCTCTGTGGACTTCACCCTTTCAGGATTGGAAATCTGTGTCCATTAAGAAACTGAGCTTTCTTCATTTTCGTCATTACCGCGAAGTGATAGGTTGCCCAAGACATCAGCATGTCCCTGTAGCTGCCTGATCTCTGCTCAGAGGAGATGGAAGGGGGAAATCACTCGGTGGTGACTGAGTTCATTCTCACAGCATTGACAGATCATCCAGAGCTGCAGATTTTCTCTCAGGACTGACAGATCATCCAGATTTGCAGAACGATTGAGACCCAACTCCACACCCCCATGTACTTTTTCCTCCGGAGTTTGTCTTTCTGTGATCTCTGCTATTCCTCGGTAATTGTCCCTACAATGTTGCAGAATTTCTTAGCAAAGAGGAAAAGCATTTCTTACCCTGCTTGTGCTCTGCAAATATACCTCTTTGTCACTTGTGCTGTGCAAATATACCTCTTTGTCTCTTGTGCAGATACCGAGTGTCTGTTGCTG